GAAAATGTGAAAAGTGGTGTGGATACTTCTGCAAGGCACATTTCCTACAACCACCTCTCTGCCATCAGTCTAACCTGTTGTTTTATTTTTGTTCTATTTTTATTTTATTCAGGAGTGCTGCATCAGCAGTGCAGGGTTTTGGTACCTGAAGGGAACGTTGCAGTCCTGACCCCGATGACCTGCCCGCCTTCGTTCACCGACAGATAATCAAACTCTCTCCCGCGTGTCCGATGGGAGGGCAGACGAGACCCGACAGCTAATCACAGCAGCCGGTTCAGGTCTGAGAGCTGGGGATTGGAGGGTGGAGACATCGGCTGCGCTCTCTGCTCCGAAGAAACCCGGACAATAAACAACCTCTGAATGCAGCTGCAGGAAATAAACTCACTCAAAGCTGTAGAGACTGAGAAGAAATGGTTTATAATTACAATGAAGAAATGGTGAAATATAATTTTTTTTTTTGCCTTCATGACGTTTTTATAACCTGGATAGTGTTAAAATGTTGAAAACATTTCAGACTGTTTTTATTTTACTCCTCTTTTGGCCAGAAAATACGGTTTACAGGAGACAACTTATTCAGTTTAGGATCCATTAATTTAATGCATTTTTTAAAAATTTGACTTTGGGTTCAGAACATCATATTTATCTCATCTTTAGTGCACAGGTGGAGAAGTAGGAGCTGCAAGGAGTTAAAACGTATGAAGTTTTTTTTAACTCCTGAAGACAATGGAGACATTATGCATATCAAGTAAATACTGTATTAAAAGCTTTTTGGGAAACCTGGACCTGAAATCTCCATCAGTCAAATCTGTAATAATTGATAAACTTTATTAATTGAATGAACTACTGCTGTAAAGTTGGCTTCCTGAGCTGATCAGACATTTTCAAGGTTTGTTTTCCTGGAAGTGAAACTTTTTTTTTTCTGAACTGAACCAATAAAGATGCAATTTGAAATAAAAAAAAATATTTTTGTCTTTAAAGTTGAACAAATTTCCTGAACAGTAAGCACGTTTTTTAAACTCCCAGGAGTTTTGTTTGTTTGTTTGTTTTAAAATGGATTCAAATGTTTGTAATACAGTTGGAAAAAATTAACTTACAATATTTGTATGATGGGTCTACAGATAGATGTTAAGAAAAACAAAGATTTGCTCTAATTTGGTTAAAAAAAGAAAATGAAGTAGAAACAGCCTTAATTATCCTACAAAGGTGAAACTGAGGCAAAACAGAAGCTTCGGGTATAAAGTTTCACCCAAAAAATGTCTTGGTGTTAAAAACAATATATACAAAAACAGATTAGCAATAAAAATACTAATAGTAGTAATTTATTGTACAAGACAATAGAACAAAAATAATCTAGATTCAATCATACCCCTTGGACTTTTACCATTTTGTTCCATTAAAAATGTAAACTTCAAAGTACTCTACAGTACTTTCACATTCAAATAAAATAAAAATATATGTATAAAAATATGTATAACCAGCACTCTGAAAACAAAGGCTAAAAAGGGATGTGTTTTGACAACAACAATCCCAAGCATGTAGCCAAAGCTACAACAGAATGAGCTTAAGGCCTAATTATATCTTACAACGGCCCAGTCAAAGTTCAGACTTGAATTAAATTGAGAATGTGGGTCAAGGAGTGGAAAACAATGCAAAGTCTGGCACAATTTGAGCTATAGTTTACAAAGATGAATGAAAAAAATCTCTACAAATGTGGAAATCTAGTAGAGACAAACCCAGGATTAGCAGATGTAATTACATGTTTAATAAAGAACTGTTGATGTGTAGTAACACAATGACCAATTTGCATGCAAAACAACACATGCTTGGTAAGCAGTGTATCTAGCAGCATATATTAGGACGGATTTTACAGATGATTTTTCTTTAAGTGATTAAAGAAACTAAGAGTTAAGGCAGTTTGCAGACTGCGTTTCAGATGGAGGTCATCTCTGAAGTAGAAACCTGCTACAGCAGGATGTGGAAAGCAACGAAGCTGCACAATCTGCTGGCAAAGCAGCAGGAAGAAGCAAACCATTGGTATGTTACAGAGACCACATTCACTTTTTAGAGCATGCAGATAACAGAGGAGAAAAAGCTGGTAGTTTAAAGTGTATGTTTGCTGCAGATCAGCATTTTCTTTTGTAAAAAATTGTGAATATTCTATTTTTGAACATGATGTAACTTCAGACTGAAACATAGAGGATGTTTTGGTGCCCCACTTTAAAGCTCAAGGTGCTGAGATTGCAATCTTTTGTCTTGAACCTCTGCTCTCCGCTTTCAAACACTTACAATAACCTGCAAGTACTGAATGAGGGGATTTCTCACTAGCAGGTTAAATGCGGGTATCAGTTTTCTTGCACAAAATAACAGCATTAACGGTCATTTCTACTTTTTTTCCCTACAGTCAGTCATAATCAGTTAAACATGGATATGTTTGGTATCCACAGAAGCGCCAGACTCTTGGGTAAAAGCTGATAAAAACCATTTGAGTATTTAAGTTTAGAAGGAAGCGACAGACATCAGTGACCAGGAACCTTCATCAAAAATATGGTGTAGGGAGCTCTGATAGTGCCAAAAAAGTATATTTTTTTATTACTGTATTTATAGTATAGTATTTATGATATACTTCACTTTGAACAATTCCTTATTGTTATGTTATAATTTGATAAAAATATAGGTATTTAAAATATTTTTATATCAAAAACAGACTATTTTAGATATGTAAAGTAAAGTTTATTAAGTTTAAAAATCCCCAGTTTTGTTGATGGTGCCATCCTGTGTGGTCTCTTTTATCCTCTGAGCTCTGGTCCTCTACCAGAGGGTTCTGCGCAGTATCTTGGCTGTGCCTAGAACTGCACATTTCTGGACTGAGATGTCTGATGTTGTTCGTGGGATCTGTTTTTTTATATATATATATATATTCCCCAAAAACGTGTGCAAATTTGCTTTAGCCTACCTCAGCTGCATCAATCTTTCAAAGGTGTAACTATGGTTTCCAACAGTTTGTAGCATTACTTATAATATTTCTAGAAGGTTTACATACTGTAAAATGGAAAACAATAATGGCAAGGCAGAAAAAAAAATCTAGATTATTTTATGCTCCTTCCTCATTTTCTCTGAAGCCATAGCAACTGCTGTTATTCAGATGGAGTTTAATAAGTGTTAGCGTTAGTGTGATGCCAAAATGATTAAAATAGAATTTGTAATTGCTGAGAAACAAAATTAGATTTGGGTGTATTATTATAAACACATGCATCAGAAAATCCTGAGGGTCCTATGAGTTAAAGATTAGGACAGGATTAGGGGTTAAGGGTGGGATTGGTGGTTCAGTGGACGTGTATACTGGGCCACTGAAGCAATGCAAATGCGGCTCTCAGGTTCCAGTCAAGCAGAGGCCACCTGACACCACTATGCTGTAGCTTGGTAGCTCCTTAATGCTAACCCTGAGACAAAAGACTATCTGAATCAGATCAATGCATTCAAGAACACTGTAAAAACACAAAATCTTACCAAGTAAAGTTTTGGTCTAGTTTGTAGTGAAAATATCTTGTTACACTTGAAATAAAACTAACTCATAATGACTTTTTTGGCAATATACAGGACCTTGTTTAAGATAAATAATTCCTTAACATTGATAAAAAGTAGTAAATCCATGGGCATGGGGAAAATGTATAAGTGAAATAATCTGCCAGTTGAACTAGTTCTTTTTTTTAATCAATAATAAATTATTTACTTGAAATAACCTTATTTTCTTTGGTGAAAAATTACTTGTAAATTAGTTTAGTTTTTTTTTTTTTTTAGTGTGCTATGGTATTTGGACTAGAAACTAGACCAAAAATACTTGGTACAATTTTATAGTTTTGCAGCGAAGAAGCTCAGTCCACGTTTTTGTTTGCTGCAGCTCCAGTTGTAAAGGATTTGAGGCGCTGGCCTGGAGCCATCTGTTATGCAACAGATTATTAGCTTTAAATCTAAGCTCTTTACTGCTCAGTGAGGGGTTAACCCTGCAGGTTGTTTGTAAGCACAGGCAGATCTGGAATCAGACAACTCACCCTCCAACAGCACTGTAAGCATTGCTGTGTGGCAGTCTGGCAGTTTTTAGATCCGTTTCAAGTCAGTGGGTCATATCTGAAGAGATAATCCTGGTTTGGGGGCGGTTCTGGTCCAGACTGGGCCTGGAGATCTAATTAACAGGGACCTCAGCTGTCTAAGTTAGAGAAACCCACTGAACCTCAGGACACAGTCAATTACACTGAATTTTATCTACAGGTGTCACACTAAAGAGGGGTGACTAATTACACTCTACTTTGTGTTGGTCTGTCTCATTAAAAACCAATAAAACACAACGAAGTTTGCATTAGTGCGTTTAGCTAACACATTTTTAATTTAGCGTTTTTGCTAGGTAAATTCTAAAGCAATAGTTTACTTGGCTCTTTGGCAAACTTTTAATTTATTAAAGTTCAACATTTGTGTTGACGTCTTGGTTATTGATTAAGAATTCTTCAAGTTTCATGCTCTTATTTTGAAGTGGTTGAAGACCGTTTACGCAGCACTTCCGTTTCCAATCCTCCGTTTCCCCCCCCTTTCAAATAACTTTATTTCAAATAGGAAGAACATAAAACACATTGTAGAAAACAAAATAAAAATAAATACATCTGAAGGCATTATAGAACATGTAAATCATGTAAAAATGTAATTAGTCCTTTGAGACGAGATATTTGAAATTAGCGCCTTAGCATTAGCTTCTGCTAGGAGTTGGTGTAGTGCTTTAGCATTAGCATAATATACGGTATTATTTATAATTAGTGGTTCGGGGTTGGTACAAAAAGCTCTTGTAGTTAGCAATGCCAGGAAGTTTGTAGTTTTACAAAATGTGAAAATGTTAAAGGGTGTGTATATTTCTACAGGGAACTGCAGATCTTTTAATATTTAAGCACTATTTTTTGGTCGGGGTTCATCAAAGGTTGACAATCAAATAAGCTGGAAAAAAGACACGCTCAAGGTAGCTTTGTTTATAGTTTATGGCTCATAAGAGTAACATCACATACATCATACATAGTGCACAATAACAACTCATTTCTAAAGTGCATTTGCTTTATGATGCACCATCTTTCAGCTTAAGAACACAAATCCTGCAAGAAGTGCATCTACACACATTCCTTCATGAAGCTTTTACACGTTACAAACACAGTCATTATTATGGTCATTTCTACCGTTATGCATTCAGTTAAGCTACTACACAATTCAAGTATAATCTCAGTATTATTACAGAAATCATAATAATACTAGAACTGTCTAGAGTTGCATTAGTAAGTCTTAAAGGCAGCAGGCAAACTACAAGCAAACAATGTGCTCTTTCACAGTCGCAAAATAAACTACATACACAAAACATCTACAGTTTTTTATTATTATTGAATTTTCTTTACTTCTTGTCAAGATCTTTGGAGGAAAACTTTTGAGAGTAACTGTTTAAAAGTAAATCTGCTGCAGCTCTTCTAATATTTTCAATGATCTAGGCAGAAACTTTTTGGGATATTTGCAAATTTTACATTTTAAAATTTCTAGATTTTTTTTTTCGGTTTATAACACTTGGTATGAAATATTTCCCAATTGGCAAATGCAAGTGTCATGAGCTAATAAACATGATGCTCCACATTAGATGTGTTATGAAGTAAAGTTTAAATTACTTCACAAGTCTTGTTCACCAAAACTTAGAGGTTACTTTTCAAAAACCTCCAAGATAATTTCAAGACTTTAATTTACAGGTTACTGTCACTTCTGATCTGATGATGAAATACAAGAAAAAAATCATATTTTTTCCTATTCATTTAATGCATTAAAGATTAAGAATGCCACTCTTTTTGGTCTATGAAGACATCAACCAACCGCATGCATTTTGATGCATTTTTTGGAGCTTAATAAAAGTAATAAATATTTAAAACTTATGCTTTGAGGCATAAATTAGGCTAATATTGTAATTCCTTCATTTACTGTAAAACCTACTACATCTATCAAAGAACTTCCAGCATATTTTTCTCTTTTATGTGTGGAAACAAAAGTCAGAATCAGCAGGTTTGAGTCAGAAAATGCTCGACTGGTGGATCTCACTTTTAGGGAAGAGGAAGGATTATTTCCCAGAACGGTTCCCACACATGTGAGGCAGAGTACAGTGGAGACGGATGTTCAGGCACTGGTGTTTCTGTGCAAAAGGAGCCACTTTTTTTTTTAAACATGAGCTGGTTTTATTGAGCCCTATTCTTTCTGAATTATCTTGATCTCTAAACCTGCTTTGTTTGGAAATAAAAGTCTTTACCAAGACTGTTTCATGTGCTGGGAAGACAAAATTGAAACGTTCTGCAGACGAAACTAATTCGAAGTAGGTAGCACTTCATCAACTGAGGGCCCTCCTCTGTGTTCAATCAGGTCTTCTTTGGTTTTCTGAATGCGGGAAAAGATTTCCCTGAAAAGTTCCTTATACTCCGGTTGGTGAAAGTCATCCTCGCTGTCGTCTGCCTCCGCTGGAGCAGGAGAAGATCCGCTGTGCTCCGACTCCTGCAGCTCCTCCAGATGCCCGCAGCGTCGCAGCAGCTCGTCGTACTTCACCTGCAAGGCACTGTACTGGGCGTCGACCTCATTGAGCAGCGAGATACCGCGGTACTTCACCACCTCGGGTCGACGCACGCAGGAGCACTCGTGGTCGTAGATCCTGCTGGGAGAGTCGGGCGCCTGAGTGGCCTTCATCTGACGCTCGCTGGCCCAGCGCTTCAGGACGGCTGGACTTTTGACCACAGCCGGCGCTCCTTCGTTCTCCTCCACTAGGTTGAGTAACATCAGGCCATGGATGACATCTGACCTGGGTGACCGTGAAGATGATTGTGATTTCCAGAGTTGACGAAGCTCCTCGGCCTCCTGTTCCAGCTCAGACACTCTGGCCTGTTGGAGGACAAGGAAAAAACAGAAAAAAGGATAATAATAATAAAAAAGTGTTCAAGACGCATCAAGATCCTTTCCAAGTAACCAGAAAACTCAGAAAAAGTTCTAGAAAGTACCTGGTAAGTGCAAAATTCCCATCTTGTATGTTCTTCTAAAAACAACCCAAGTACTTAAAATAAAAACGGCAAGCTGTTTTTTGGCAGTAGGTTAATGTTTTTTGGAGTCTGGAAAATGAACCATTTCAAAAACCTCCCAATTGTTGAGCCACGACTGATGGGGACTGCTTCGTTACCGCAGCCCAGCCCATTACCTTGCAACCCACACTAAGTTCCAGCTAGTTTGCTCAGCTGGTTTTAACCCTGTATGCGCTGTACAATGGCTGCTGGAAAAGACGAGAGTTTTGTTGTTGACTTGCCATTCAGAAGCCACTTGCTGCATTCTTGTTGGCTGTGCAGGAGGCTTTTCAAAAATGTACGGTTGTACAATTGCGCAGTCATTTTCATATGCGAGTGTAAAGTTTGAGTTGCACCAGATTTTATTTGGATTTAAAGTGACTAGTGGCCCTAAGACCACTCATTCTGAATAGAGCTTAAAACAGGCAGAACTGATCAGACTAAAATCACCTTCCCAAGAATTATTTTGTACAAAAAATGTTTTATATCACCAATGGACCTATCCTAACCTGTTCAAGAAAGACTAATAGGTCACCCTTAAATAGAAATAGATGTGACTGGACACTTGGTAAAGTGGTAATGGGTTTAGTGTACCTGACATCCCTCCATCCTTGCCAGCTGTTGCTCCAGAGCCGCGTTTTCTCTGGCGAGCAGCTGCGCCTCCGTCTCTGCCTCCTCACGCCGTGCACGCTCAGTGGCAAACTGAGTCTGGAGGGCGCGCAGGGACTGCTGCAGTGTCACCTGCGCCTCCTCACGCCATGACGCCACTGACACTTCGAGGTCGTCCAGACCTTCGTCAGGATCAACTTCGTACCTGCAGAGAGACGTGGACACGTCTTTGAGCCACATCTCAAGTTTCCCTCCCGTGTCTCATTAGATTTCAAGTTTTTATTGTTAATCTTTGACACAGATTAACTGTAAAACTAAAACGGCTGCAAAAGAGTGCTGTACTCAAGCGTATTCATGGAAAATTGAGTTGAAGGAAAAACTGGTATAAAAAAAAGGTGCTGAAGCATCACTGTAGCAGTGCCATGTCCATGTTACACCATTTTGATGTAGTAATTAATGCAAAGGGAGCCTTGATAATTCTTTTAGCGGATATATTACACTTTACTTTCACATCTTTTCAGTAACTTTTCTGTATTTAGAGAAACAGAATAAAAATCAGGACTGGCTGGTAGGAACAAGAAGGCCATTTAAAGTCACAGACCCAAGGTTGGAGACTGCAGCTAATGATTAACACTTGGTAACACTTTATTTGACAGGGTGACACCGTAATAAACATAACACCTGATATGAACATGAAGGAGTCTTTATGAATGTCTATGACTGTTCTCATAAAGTGTCATTCAGTAAGTAATGACTTTTACTGCAAAGTTGCTCTAAATGTTGCATTGAAAGTCCCTTAAAAGTGCCAACTTTGCATTAAAGTGTCATTATTTACAGAATAATGCAAAGTTGGGACTTTTAATGAAACTTTTAAACCAACTTTGCATTAAAGTGTCATTATTTAAAAAATGACACTTCATGAGAACAGTTAGAAATTCATAAAGACTCCATGTTCATGACAGTGTTATGTCAGTCTTATGCGCAACCCTTCAAATAAAGTGGTACCAAATGTATTACAATATGAGAATAAAGTTGAAGTATTATGACTCTTAGATGAGAATTAATTTAAAAAAATCATCAAAATGAGGAATGTTGAGCATCCAAAGTTATACTACTGTATAAATTTAACAGATAAGGAAACATTTCACCTTTTAACATCAAATTATCAGCAGCAGGACTTTGAAACGTTTGTGTCAATTTTGCAGAAAGAAAAACAGACTTGACAAGTTGGTCAGATCTTTCCTCTCTTTAAAATAACTTTTTCTAGTAATTTTTCAACTATATTCTGGTAATATTGTGTCTTTATTTTTGTAATATTGTAACTTTATTCTGGTAATTCTTTGTCTGGCCCTAATCTGTCGTAGTTCTCCAACTGGTTAACATATAAATGCATATTTATTAAATATTTTCAGGCTATCAGTCTGATGAATCAGTGTTATTTTTAACAGAGATCAGCTATTTGTGTCCACTGTTGCATAAGCATGTGTTCATTCTAATCTCTGACGGGAAAACAAAGTGAAAGGTGCCAGGAAGTGCACATGCAGAGTTAAAGGGTCAAAGTTCACGAGACAGGTCACATCTTGAAGGAGTGAGGTTCAGTGCGATGCTGAAATAAACATTAAAAAATAAAGTTTTTTAACTAATGTCAGGTAGAGTTTATGTTTCAGGTGTTTTTTTATGTTTGATAATGAGACAAGAAAACACAAAAAGGAGAAGAAATCTTTTAAAAAAGTATCTAATCAAGAAGGTAATGTGATTAGATTAAAATCAATCAGCTTGAGAGGGTTATTGACCGATGTCCGAGCCCTCCAGCTCAGACTTTGGCCTCCTTCCTTTCAACGTCCTCTGACTCCAGACGCTGCAGTCTCCTTATCGGAGAGACGTCCACGCATCTGAGCTGGATATATTCCCACCCACCCCCCTTAACAGGATTACACACAACAGCAACTAAACTGAGTGATCAAACCTGTCCCACTGCAGACAAACAGGAAGTGGCTGCAGCGTGAAGAGAGCACACTGCTTTGAGGAGCGGGATTAGTGTGAGGGAGCATTTACTGATCCCTTAGCGAAGCTTACAAAGACCTTCTGGATCTGTGACAAAGGAGTTAGAAATATTTTAAAAGCCTCAACTAGACTCAGCGGAGATAAAGACCACAGAGGAGCCACAAACCTCGGTGTCTTACTAGTTTACTGTAAGAAATAAGGAGTTTCTTGTCAAAACTGGACACAGAAAATTGTTGCCAATGGTTTTTCTCAACTCTGAAACAAACTCCCTGAAAACCTGATATATACTGAAAACATGGGCTCCTTTACAAGAGGACCTTACTCACTGTTTCTACAAGTTTAAGACTTTAACACCATTTACATTTAAATTAAAAATTCACATTTTGCGATACTCTCTACAGCCTTAGTCCCCATAATGCTTTGCTTTTTTCACAGAATGCACCTTGCCCAACATGGGTTGGCAACAGAAAGGAGCATGCCATCCAGCCGACTTGCAATAAATTTGCTATTACACAGGACAAATGCCAAAAACCTAGCTAGCTATGAAGGGTTTATTAGGAGCTAGTTTGCTGCTAGTAGCCTCAACCGCAACAAAGATGATTTGAGTGCAACTCAAACTTTTGCCAGACAGAAAAGTCCCGCGAGAACCCCCCCCCCCC